TTTTATCTACATTTTAAAAATATGATCATGGCAATGTATTGATAAATTTGGACGCATCTCAAAGTCATAAATATTACTAACCATTCAAAGACACGACGCGCTTTGAAAAAATAGCTAGAAATGCGAATAGGATATCTCCATTGACTTGATTCTCGTTAGATGAGTTTGAACATTTTGGACCTGCTCGGTGACATCATTACTATCATTTCGATCGTATAGATTTCAGGATAGGATTTGATATTAGCAGCCCGTGAATGGGACGATTTAATGGATGGGTGGCCAGGCACGGTGGCGTGGCTGATGTCGTGTCGACGTTGCCCGACAGTCTGGTACAGCCGCGATTAACTACAAGCCGCCGTAGCTGCAACATGTCTGAGTGCATTGCATTGTATAGCATGCATAAATGCATACATACATGAAAAGCTTTGTCATTTAGTATTCTTTATTCGGGCGTCATTTTGCTGTCAAGTCGAATTTTAGATAACTCGAAGTATTTACGTAGGTTGCTGCAGCTTCGGGTCAACGATGCTAGCGTTCACTAGTTAAAGTCCGCGCAAAATTAGATATCAATTGAACCTTTGTGAAGAAATGTGAACGCGTATCAGCAAGTGAAAGGCTTCGAGTTTAATTAATTTCTCACTCAATCATTTTCTCTGAACTGGCAGTCCCTTGGACCCAGAATAGAAACCTAATCCCTAAAAACAATAACTGCCAGCTCCTTTGTGATCATTAATGTAGTGGCGAACTGTAATTGGCAATCTGATCCACTGCGACAGCTCCTCATGTTACCTGATGTCAACCTGACCCAGACACTAACCAATGCGTCTCCTTCTGTGGGTCTGAACACTGTCTTCATCACTAATATTAAAACATAACATAAACTTATAAGCATGATTTGTAGGAAATGCAATGCATTGTCATACATAACTTATGACTTCTGCGTAGCTGATATTTCCCCATCATTTCTACATCATGAGGTTGGATATCAAATCGATTAGAAAAGTCCGAATATATCCATAACGGCAGCCTTGTAACATAATCATATGATATTTGTCCGTCCTGGAATGTTAAACATTAACAGAAACATAGGTCATGTGTTATCATTGAACAGTCGCTTAAACAGTGGGTGAATACGAGTTTCAATTGAAATGCAATTCAGTACAGTCAGTGTTATAAAAATTATATATAACACATTTCAACAATTGCAACTCTTTGTCTGTTCACTTTCCATTCTATGTGAAATCGAATGCCAGATTCCTTCGATATTTTATTAACAAGTTGTGTACGTTACAAATGCCTCACATTAGTACATAGAGTGAGTGAGTATGGTTTAACGCAGCTTTTAGCAATATTCCAGCAATATCACGGCGGGGACACCAGAAATGGGCTTCACATATTGTGCCCATGTGGGGAATCGAACCCGGATCTTCGGCGTGACGAGCGAACGCTTCAACCACTAGGCTACCCCACCGCCTCTAGTACATAGAGAAAATCCTTTGAATACACATCCTCCAAATAAACATTGCCTCCACAGGACTCGTTTCGAAACGATCAGGTTAAGAAATAAATGTCAAATACATAAACGCAAACCAAATCTAATTTGTAATAAAGAAAAAGGCGCCTTCCGGGATAGCTCGGTATGCATTCCACAGATATGACACTCAACGGATTCCATTTAATCAGCAATGGACAAGAATAGCACATGAATACCTGTTGTGTTTAACTCTTTCTGTGCATGATTCTTCGTCGATAGCCAAATGCATGCGTGGTTCATTTATATTTACTAAAAGGGGGAGGAAAAAGTTGAAGGTCTCATCGGCTGATAATTTGTTTAAGGGAAGAGCAAAATACAATTGCTTTTCTTTGAATAGAATTCATAGCCACTCATTCATAACGAAAGATAAGACAACACCAAAGAAATTCAGGTCAGCATGGATCAGTTAACAGGTCGAGATACAATAGTGGTTAAAGAGTTGAAATGTCCATTTGAAGACCCTGGGGTCAATTCTCCACAATTGCACAATGTTTGGAGCCAAGAGTCGTGTTCACGTTGTGATGGGTAGAATAAACCTAAAAGCAGAACAAGAAACTCAGTGCTTACTCGTTTACACATTCATTTCTTGGTTATATTCAATTATGCATTCCGATGGTGAGTTAAAGACCATTTTGAACACTATTTCAGTCATATCCGACATGTCAGTCACAGTTTAACGTGGGAGGGACGGTGAAACCACCATTAGCCGTCAGAACACTGAGTATTAGGGGACTGACCGCATGTGTCAATAATGTCCAATCATTGCTTGACCCTCTATGCCAGGGATAGGCTTACACTGAATGCGTCTTCTTATCCAACAACCCTCAACCCTTGACACGCATGTATTCCAAGATATATTATGTAGTTTAGGCGCCAGTGCAGTTGCCTTTGGAAAGTCCTGTTGTAGTCCTAAGAAAGAAACGGTTGACTTTTAAAGCATTTTTTAAGATAAATAACTGCTGGCTTGCATATTTTAGATGTGGTTCCTGCGTCTCAATGCAGGGGGAAGTAATTGGGTTAAACACTTTACCACTGATTTCTTAAGTGAAACATGGAACGTAACATATTTAGAAACGCAATCACCATTTATCAACATTTTAAATGTGCATCTACACACATATATATACATACGTTTAAAACAATTGGGTGGTCTGATAGGACGGATTGCAATGACTGAAATTCTGAATGGGAATACAATGCATGAGCTTCAGATATTTGTGAAGAAGTATTTCGGGAACATGGAACGTAACACATTTAGAAACGCAATCACGATTTATCAACATTATAAATATGAATATATGCATATATATATACGTACGTTTAAGACAATTGGGTGGTCTGATAGGACGGATTGCAATGACTGAAATTCTAGATAGGAATACAATACACGAGCTTCACATATTTGTGAAGAAGTATTTCGGGAATATATTCGCATTTGTATTTCACTTAGATCTTGGCTTTTAGTGTACCGCTGATCATCAAACCTCATCACCCCATGCATGTCGACTCTCACGATGCGTATGAGGTACTATGTCCAATATGAAAACGGAATCCTCGTGTATTTAAGGCATAAATCCACTCTGAAGAATTACAATTTACATGGTTATCACACATACGATGGTTTATTGATAAATTGGAATCCTCACATAGAAAAACGACTTTTTTGTATTTTTTTCAAAATAATCTCCTTCCAAACCGATACACTTTTTCAATATCAATGAGGGATTTTCCCCAGTTTTGTTCTCTTCGCTTTCCACAACGTCCTCAACAGCTGTTATGGCGTCATTATTCGAGTAGAAATGGCTTCCGTCCTGAGTCTTATGGAAGAACATGTTCAGAGATGAAAGATTTCAAAGACACGGCATGGCAAATTGCTGGTGCTTGCCAGTCTTCCAAGTCTCATACTCTTAATTCCATCTCGCAATTTGACTCAAAAGGCCAGCATAATATGTTCCGTCTATTGCCGGGGCTTTTATCGAATACGGACACCACGATCATGGTATCCCGGCACAGGGAAGCAGTAACCCTTCACACTGATGGGACAAATTTTACCTTCTAGGGTTGTGTAAATGTCAAATGCTTCCACAGCTTTGATTGTTCTTTGTACACGAGATATGTTGGGCCTTTGTTTTTATCAAATGTCGGTAGTTTGAAACCATGCGAGCTGGTACTTCGATTCATAGTTAGTGTGATAATGGAATGTACTCCGTTCGGAAATACTTACTGACAAGCAGTAGTACTTGGCATTTGACTCATGTGGCTATACTTTGACTTCATGCAATGTCCACAACGAAACATTTCGCTAGAATTAATAATTTCTTCTATATGGGGCTCTGAACTTATCAATCAGCCTTCGTACACACACACATACATACTACCTACACACACACACACACACACATACACACACACATACATACACACACACACACACACACACACACATACACACATACATACATACATACATACATACATACATACATACATATTTCCTACCAACATACACACATACAGTCAACTCTCGTTAATCCGACACTTGGGGTTGCAGAGAAATATGTCGGATTAATGTATTTGTGTGAAAATATCATACCTATACATACCTACGCACACACACGAACACTCACGAACACTCACGAACACACACAAACAAACACACACACATACGTACTTGGCTTGTATTGGTCTTATGCAATAAGAAGGTTCTCTGTAAGCTGTAATGGGTGCAGTCGAGTAAATGCATCCAATTATCAAACAGATATACCCAGACTTGTGTCGAATTTTGATGCGTCGAACATACGGTTGTCTCGAAGCAAAAGGTTTGTCATTGCGTGTTCCCTTTACTTCATCATTTGTCGGTCCAGTCGAATCTTTGATAAAGCAGAGTATTTACATTGGTTGGTGTCACCTCAACACAACGGTGTTTGACGGTAACTAGTTAAAGTCGACGCAGAATCAGATGTCAATTGAACATTTGTGAAGAAATGTGAACGCGTGATTAGCTAGCCTGGCGCGAGTCATGAAGGAGAGAAAACAAGGACTCTCCAGCACGGGGTGAGCACGAGCGTGTCTGTGTAAGCTAATCGAATAAACAGAAAGGCTATATCTACAGTGATCTAAAACGAAACATCAGCCATACATCACAGATAAATATATAATAATTCTGTATGTAGCTGAACTGGCATATGTAGTTTCCACCAATGGTCATGTAACTGGAATTTAAAATTAAATAAGAAACTTGCAAGAGCGACACATTCTATTATGACATTAGCTGGGTAATGTGACAGCAGCTATGGCATTTACGTCATTGCCAAGGTCCTAACATCACTGCTTAAGGCGATGCTTATCGTGAAGACAAATCATTATCGGGTGAATATTTTCGATGTCATCTCGGTTTTAAAAGGAAGCCAAACATTTAAATGTAATGAAAAAGAACATAAATGTACCTTCAAACTACAACACTTACCAGATATCTGTTCTTCTGATAATGATATGGGTTCTGGGTTCTGAAAGAATAAAAGATCAATATTTTCAGGCTATTTCTGGTAACACTGCATTTAAGCGAAAGCTATCGTAAAACATGGCGTCCTGAAAATTAGACAGCTATTTGTCAAATCATTGCGAAGTTCCCGAGAGCAGGTTCAGAGTATCGATCAACTAATTAAACCCGACAACGACTTTTTCCAGCATCTGTTGCCATGTGTTAAATGTTGCTGCCTCGTCGCTTAAGGTGTCCATGTAATACATGGGGGTAAACACGGCAAAATATGAAGTCGTTTTTTCCGCTTTATGTTCTATTTCTCCAAACAGCTCAATGTCAGTTCTTATTTGAGGCCTCAAAGGACATGTACCACTGGCACTCCTTTGATCGGGAAGTGGAGAGTGGTTTTCTTTAGGAAAGATTATTTTTAGGTGACATGAAAAGCAAGAAAGCTCAAACACTAGAAGGCGATGCATGTGTTATGCTATATTTTCGTTTTATTTATATCCCTTTATGCAAAGCACAGGTTGTCTACCTTGCTAATAGTTAACATAGGTTAGTATCACATTTTGCAAGATATCGGGCAGCGACACCAGCAGTGACGGGATATTATGCACATTAACGTCCTTGGTTGAATACAAAAGAAACAATGGCATCCATCTCACAAAAGCAATCTATCCCATATCCAATTGGTACAGTTATTCCAAGACAACATGTGGCCACCCGATTCAATCAGAATCCCGCATCGTTACCATCCAACTAATGTACAACCTGACCATACTGTTATTGTTTTGTATTACCCGTGACAACACTCCGGCCGGAGACCTCTGGAGACTGACAATTCCAACTGCCTGCCGTTGGGCTAACAGTTCAGCGTGTAAACGTACGCAATGTCAATAAAACATAAATTGCGCCAAGAAAGTAACATCACTATCAGTTATTGAAGATGGACAGCTAATACTGGAAGAGGCAATAAACATGGAAATTGGCACATGCATGTACAAGCTTTTTCTTTGTTTCGATGCAAGTATGGTAAGCTATCCATGTACTCATACCAATGATCATATGTGAAAAGGTCTGTGTAGCATGTAAATGTAAGGCGCTATGTGATGCCATGTTGCTGATAATTACACTGTCATGATCGTAGATTAAGTGCCTACTACCTGTTTCACTTCTCCAGCTTGGAGCTAGTGCGCTCTGATATCATGAACTCGAATTTACGTTCATTGTCAAGTCCCATCCAATGCACATACTTGCCTATTTGCACGCTACGTTACATGAAGATATGTGTTGATACGTTACAGGAAGATATGTTTTGGTACGCCGCGTGCAATATTCCAGCAATATCACGGCGGGGACACCAGGGTCACTCAATGGGGATTCGAACCCGGGTCGGCGTGACAAGGCGATAGACTTAGCACTGTCCACGACGGTCGTAACGGTCGTAACTCTCATACTTTAACATAAGCTTACGATCATCGTAGAACTAACGTCGCTTTGTGCAAGTGGATCCAGACCAAATTAATTCTTTCCAATCTTGCCTCGTTTATATGTATATGTTTTCAAATACTAAGTCTATCTGTTTCCAAGGATGTCATCAATTTTTCGTGTACAATATGCATTCAGTTCCACATGTGCCTCACATGTGTTCAGTGTAAATAAAATAAAACATCACTCCCCCTGGGTGTGGTAAACATAATGATCGACCGTGGATCCATACAATGTGTATGGGTTGGTACAGCAGTATTACTGTGGATCGTTTCTTGTGTCTTTAACCAGTTTTAGGTCCAGATATACTTCGGATACAGATCCATCAAATTTCAACAACATACATGAGTCGTCATTTCAGAATCAAATGCCAGCCTGACCTATCGTATTTTAGCCTTTATTGTATGATCTTTAACCTGCCTGATACTAAATGTAATATGTGCCATATGAAGATACATATTACACGCTATATGATGCGACCTTTCATCTACCTGATTTGGACCAATTTACATGGCTATCGACTTCCGGTTGCGCATGGCTTACGGGTAGACGTGTTTTCCTGGCTCTCGCTTACCCGTGGATGAATCCCTCAACATCTACTAATGTGATGATTCAACTGTGATAAAGCAACATACCTACGAATCCCGAGTGCTTAAAGTTGCTTTTTCTGAAGTATTGCACCATCATCAAGTTGGAATTTATACTTTTGACGAAGTGTCTACATCCTACTGACGAGCAATGGCGGAGACGCGTGTCACTCGAACAATTTCTGGACTCGAGGACATCGTCCTTGCATCAGAGAAGAGGCTAGCAGATCTCATCAAACCCACTAAATGTGAACTGCAAGACTCAATAGACTCTGTGAAAAATGATCTAAAGGACTTGAAGACAAAAGTGAGTGCAATTGAGTTCGAAAAAAGTAACCAAGATTCTATCATTTAAAATCTACAGGATGAACTGGCCTCCGAAAAGGAACAACGAGTTCAACTTGAGCGACAGTACATTCTGAAGGATATACATGACCGACGCCCTAATTTGCTCTTTTACGGAATTCCGGAAGCTCCCCAGGAGAACACAGTGAAGATTCTGCGTGAGTTTTTGTTCACCAAACTAAACTTTTCTGAGCAAAGAGCAGACGACATATTTTTCAAGGTAGTTCACAGACTCCCAGTATCAGAGTATCAGAAGAAGCACAAACCAGACGCTCCACGCAGTATCATTGCAACGTTTACTTATATGCCCGATCGTGAAGCTGTCTTTGACGCCAGAAAACTACTCAGACAACCAGGTATCAACATCCAGACTGACCTACCCCCTTTCTTGAAATAGAAACGAGCTATCTTGAGTAGAAAAGCTGCTTCTCTCAGACAGAACTCTGGAATCCGGACACGGGTCAGGGTGGTTGCTACGGAGGTTCTACTGGAGACACGGGGTCCAAAGAAACCGGGATCTCCATGGGTCAGATTTGACAATCAATAAACCGATGTGCCTGTACATTGAACATTTGTTTACATCTCGATTGATGCTATAACCTGGACGATCCATCACATAAGTCGTCCCAGCATTTTTTATTATCCAACTCTGTGCTGTCTTATTCCTATCAAAATATTCGTTATTAACCTCCGAAAAGGCAAAATGTTGTTGAACTACTTCACATCATTTCATTGCTGTAGTTGACTCCAGACGAGTTAACATTAACCAATATATAAAAGTAGCTGTACCCTGTAACCTCTATCGTTGACGCGAGAGCACGTGTACGCACGCACCTTCCTTAGCAGAGATAGCATATCAACGCGTGGACAGACAGTGTGCACGTCCCTAACACGTGACTTCATTATATTGCTACACTGGCGTCTATGTTGGTGTCAGTATTAGTGGGCGGCGGGGTAGCCTAGTGGTTAAAGCGTTGGCTCGTCACGCCGAAGACCCGGGTTCGAATCCCCACATGGGTACAATGAGTGAAGCCCAATCTGGTGTCCCCCGTCGTGATATTGCTGGAATATTGCTAAAAGCGGCGTAAAAGCAAACTCAGTCAGTCAGTCCGCTGCAATATGCAGCGACTGGAATCTTGTACTTGATCCATCAATAGACCTTGAAAATTATAAGCACACTAACAACCCTCAAGCCCCTAACATAGTATTAGACAAAATTGAAGAATTGAATCTTATGGATGCTTGGAGAGAACTAAACCCAGATTTAAAGAATACACTTGGTTGAAAAGAAATCCACGACAACAGGCTAGACTGGACTTTTTCTTAATTACAGAAAACTTATTTAACATTACTTCAAAAGCCACTATCCAACCGGGCTATGAATCAGACCATTCCGCTATTACCCTTTCGTTGTCTACATGTAAAAACAAAGAAATGGGCCGTGGATATTGGAAATTGAATACCTCTTTATTAAGAAACGAAGATTACATTGAAGTAGAGTCAGACTTATAGGAGAAAACGAAACTTGAATACGCAGACACTAAATACACAGCCGCGGAGATAAGAGATATCAATGATGAAAAAATATTAATCTCACAATCAGTGATCAACTGTTTTTAGAAACATTTTTAATGAAAGTCAGAGGAAAATCTATATCGTTTGCTTCGTTCCTGAAGAAAGACAGACAAAAAATATTAAGCGTTTAGAAGAGAGTATTGCCATTTTAGAAGACGAAATAAGAAACGATTTTCAAAATGCCAGAGAACTGACCTTTGCTTAACTATCCGAGACCAAAATTGAACTCGAAAAATTAAAAGAAGAAGAAATAAGAGGAACCCAAGTACGAAATAGAATCCAATGGTACGAAGAAGGCGAGAAACCGACAAATTACTTCTGCCTCTTAGAAAATAGAAACTATGCTAATAAACTCATTAACACGGTCGTAAACGATCATGGCATAGAAATAACTGATGGAGAAGCATTAAAGAATTAAAGAACCGAAATTATTCTACGAAAATCTTTATAAAGCGGCATGTGAAGTAAACCCAAAAAGCAAAAGGGTATTTTTCCATCTTGTTACACCATGTTTAGATAAAGATTTCTCCGAGGAATTAGATGCAGACATAACCATAAATGAAATTGCTGTTGCCATAAAGTCAATGAAAAATAATAAGAGTCCGGGCCTAGACGGTTTTCCTTTAGAATTTTTCAAGTTTTTTTGGAAAGATATCAAAACATGGGTTCTCCTTTATATTAAGGAAATATTCAATTAGGGAATAACAATTTTCTTAGTACAACAATGAATAGAGGAGTGATCACTTGTATCCCTAAATTTAACAAAGACCGAAGATTCCTTAAGAACTGGCGACCTATTTCTCTCTTAAACGTTCTATACAAATCGTTAGCACTTGTATCACAAATAGGCTAAAGAAGACATTAAATATACTCATCAATGAAAATCAAACGGGTTTTATTCCAGGACGATGCATATCAGATAACATAAGACTTCTCTACGATATTATGTTTGAAACTAAGAGATTAAATATAAAAGCTTTATTAATACTGATTGATTTTGAAAAAGCATTTGACACGGTTTCCAAAGTGT